GGATGCTGTTGGGGTGGGGAGGGGGATGCTCCAAGCCCCAACCCATGGCCTTGGTGCCCCCCCGCCCAGCATCAGGAGAGGAAACTGAGGCACAGAGGGGTTCAGGACCCCGCTTTGGGTGCAGGCGGGGCCCCCCCTTGGGGTCCCCCCGTGTCACCCCGTCTCTTTGCCTGCTCCTTCTCCCCCCGCGCAGGGTCCCCCCGTCTGAGCGTGCTGGGAGAGCGGCGATGGACACGGAGGGGGAGCCGTCCCCCCGGGACCCCCGGGACGCCGAGCTGCCGGAGGGGACCTCCGCAGGTGAGCCCCCCCAGAGCGGCGCCCGGCTCGGACGGGGTGTCCCCACGCGGGGAGCGGGGTGGTGACTCCTTTTTGGGGGTCCCCCGTGGACCTGCCCTGACCCAGCGATGTGGGGAGACCCCGACCCCGCAGCACGGGGATCCCCCAGGCCTGGGGGTGGGGGGACCCCGATCCCAGGGTACGGGGGTGCCCCAGGGATGTGGGGATGTCCCATTCCCATGGCACGGGGTACCCTAGTCCTGGGGTATGGGGGTACCACGATCCCACAGCCCGGGGGTACCCCAGTCCTAGGGTGTAGGGATGTCCCCTTCCCATGGCACGGGGTACCCCAATCCTGGGGTCTGGGGGTGTCCTAGGGGATCCAGGGATGTCCCGTTCCCATGGCATGGGGTTACCCCAATCCCAAGATATGGGGGTGCCCCAATCCCACAGCACAGGGGTACCCCAGTCCTGGGGTGTAGGGATGTCCCATTGCTGTGGCACAGGGTACCCCGATCCCAGGGTATGGGGGTACCCCGATCCCTTGGCACGGGGGTGCCCTGATCCCACAAGGAGAGGATGCTCCGGTCCTGGGGTGCAGGTGCCCTGGTCATGTGGCATGGGGGTACCCCGATCCCGGGGTGTGGGGATGCTCCAGTCCCTCGGAGTGGGGATACCCCATTCCCTGGCATAGGGACGCCCTGATCCATGGGTACAGGGATGTCCCGATCCCACAGCACGGGGACACCCCGATCCCGGGGCGCAGGGATGTCCGGATCCCTTGGCATGGGGACGCCCCGATTCCGGGGTGCAGGGATGTCCCAATCCTACGGCATGGGGACACCCCGATCCTGGGGTGCAGGGATGTCCCGATCCCACAGTGTGGGGACGCCCCGATCCCGGGGTGCAGGGATGTCCCGATCCCACAGTGTGGGGACGCCCCAATCCTGGGGTGCAGGGATGTCTGGATCCCACGGCACGGGGACGCCCCAATCCCGGTGCCCTGCTCCCGCCCCATGGGGTTTCCTGGTCCCCCAACTCCAGCCATGGTTTGCAGAGGGAATTTGGGCTCCGGGGTCCCCGGTGATGCCACCCCGATGCCCGTCCCTGCCCGGGGACACGCTGTCCCCGTCCCCTGCTCCGGGCCTGCTCCGGGCGGGATCCTCCCTCCTCCCACAGCCCGAGCCTGGACACTTGTCCCCAGGCTGGGACGGGGTGGGATGGTGGGGACACAGGCGGGGGCTGAGCCGGGAGCTAAACCCGGGCTTGGGAGCAGGACAGGGTGTCACTGCTGTCCCCGAGCCGGAGAGGGGCCAGGGAAGGTGGAAAGGGACGGAGAGGGGGCAGCGGGGACGGGACAGAGGGGACAATGGGGATGGAGAAGGAGGAAAAGGGATGGAGAAGGGGCAGAGGGGATGGAGAAGGTGGGAAAAGGGATCGAGAAGGTGGAAAGGGGATGGAGAAGGTGGGAAAAGGGATCGAGAAGGTGGAAAGGGGATGGAGAAGGTGGGAAAAGGGATCGAGAAGGTGGAAAGGGGATGGAGAAGGTGGGAAAAGGGATGGAGAAGGGGCAGAGGGGATGGGGAAGGTGGGAAAAGGGATGGAGAAGGTGGGAAAGGGATGGAGAAGGTGGGAAAAGGGATGGAGAAGG